ATTTAGGCAATTAGATATTTTTGTCAGCATCCATCTTTTGGTATGTTATTTCTAAGACCCTAAAGCACCTTTTAAGACCAAAATTTTTTTTTCGCTTTTTTCAACATTTTTGACCAGCTTTCCCCTAAATAATATTCCCTAGCTATCCCGGAAAATAGTAGTCATTTGTTTCGACGCCGAATCTTCCACTTTGAATTTTTTTTGGTGCCCTTCCCCCTTTTTTTATCTACAGCATCAACTCATGTTTGGACTCGGGATCATACCGACGAATCCAAGTTCAATCAACTGTTACAATGCGGTTGCAAATTTCATACAAATCAGCCTGGCACATCTCCTTAACATAATTGTCGATCTGCCTGTACTAATTTTTCGACTTTCTTAAATTTTTCTTCCGTCACGAGCGTTACTGGGCGCCCCAGACGGGGCCTCATACGCAATGCAATATGTACACACTTAAATAAATATGTACATATACATAGAGTTGAAAAGTCTTCATATCTCAATAAATAAACATACATACATATGGTGAGTGAAATCAAATGTGCGCATACGCCCATCTGTGAAACGGCAAGAAGTCAGCTATTTGGCTTAGCATGGGGCCCACGGTGCGTTGGAATACCAAAGTGTATAGGCATGGATATTTAATAAACAAGCATAGCCACATTGCTATTCAAACAGTATTGCATGCAGACATTCGGACATACATATATAAATATTTAGGTATGTATGTATGTTTGAGCAAACAGAACAACAATATACTCGTAAATTTATATGATGTCGTAAAATTAACAAAACCTTTTTATGTTTTACTCTTAGCCTAGAGCCATTCATTTGATTAGCAACCTACGAGCGAATGACTGCGGGTTTGTTTGCCTAATTTTTTTCACGTTATCCCAGTTATGACCGAAAGATGATCAAATAATGTTGCACCAATAAAAACAATAACAATGCGCTTTTATATTACTGTCTAGCGTGAACTGAAACCAACACTGTTTGAAGGGTCTAGTCCTATAAAGTAGAACCTCATATTATACAACTTTCTTGGGTCCACACACATATTTAGCATGAGTGAGAAAACCAATAAATCTTCTTGTCAAAACAAAATATGAAGCTAAATTACGTAAAGTGAAATGGCAGAGGTATATTGTATCATTTATAATATAATATTAGTTGTAGTAAAAAGAAATCCGTTATTTCTTTAATAGATTTTTCCAAAAGATTTATCTGTATCTCGCGTTGTATAAGTCCGATCGAAGTCCGATAGATGGCGTTAGAAAGATGGCTTTTCGTACTAAGAAAGGTTTTCTGACAATTTTGTAATTGGTTGATTCAGGGAGCGTAGCAAATAGAAAATACGCTGTATTTTACAGTTTATCTACGATAAGGGCGAAAAAGCAAGCCAGGCGGCTGAAAATATGAATAGAGTTTATGGTCCTGATACTGTAACAGCCAATTGCGCGAAATTTCCATTTCATCACGGTAATTTTTATGTAAAAGATGCTTCACGGAGTGGAAGGCTAATTGTCGAATATGTCGAAAAAAATCAAGGACATTGTCGAGTCCGACGAGTCCGATTGCCTAAGGGCTAAATATCTTACAAAACTCATTTGTAATCATTTGATTAAGGCTGGATACGAAAAGAAGAAATTAAACCATTAAATTTTAAGAAAAAACAATGGTTTTATTTTACTACACCAAATATAATTGACATTTTGTACCCGCTGATTGCAATTTTTGATGTGCGTCCTAATGTTTTTCCAACAAATGAACCTCCGGTCCCCCTAACTGCTGATGGATTTTTATGAGGAGGATCTGACATTCCTTGCCGAGGGGCGATCGGAACAAGAAAAGTAAGTCAATTTTGTTATTATTTAAATAAATTTTTTACAATTTTTGGATGTTGGCAATGCTACTCAACAATGATTCGCTCGTATGAGGGTTGCTTTTGACACAAATTGAATTGTTAATAATAATAATTTTTTTATTTAAATAAGATTCCTCATTACCGCCGGAGTTAAAGAAGTGAATTAAAAAAGGGGATTCACAGGGTAATCCCCCACTATTGCTGAGGCTCGTTTCACCACCTAAGAAGGCCTTCTAAATTTCTTACACATTGATATTGTTGTTGTTTTAGTAGCTAGTCTAACCCGGCTAGGAACACGAAAGATCAGTCTAAGCATCGAGGTCATCCAACGATGAGTAGTTTTTAGCGCATGAAAGAAGGTGGTTAGTGGCGGGATCGCATTGCATGCTAGACATAGAATGATTACGTTCGGGTTACGTCTGGGTCGGTTGGAGTTTAGTACACTACAATATCTATATGTTTATTGTGCCAACTCCCACGACAGCCGGTTCCACGCACTGAAGTTGACCCGGATTTTATGCCGCCAAGAGCTGTCACCCTATCAGCAATCTAAAAATGGTTAAGTTAAAAACAAACATTAGTATTTCACTTTTTCAGACATCTCGCTTATGAAATGAGCGGTGATCCTTTTACCAACTGGCTGGACTGGATATGAACGCCAAAGTAGGCAGTTAACAACCCAAATTTATTGGAAGGGACATTCGATAGCTTTCACTCCTTCATACCACCGCATGCAACCGCGACTGATACTACCAAATCACAGAATCGCAACAAACTCCTCAACTAGCTATCGAACATCACTTTTGAGCAAATTCAAAGAAACGTTGCTGGTGTCTTTGAAATCAACCGGCTGACCGTTCGTTAATTACAATCCAGCAAAGTTTGATACTGGGAACTTTTGGAAGACAGATACAGACTTGTCAAATACCTCTTTAAAGATGATACCGGAAAGCCTTCTCAAAACAACCGTATTACTAGACACAACTCGTTATAGAATAGAGCTCAAACTTTATTCACGGTAAGTCAATGAACTACTTCTTTAACTTTCTACTGTTCAATCCTACCAGAACAGAACCGATTCCTACTTCAATTCAGGTCTTAGCAGACTAAACTCCTTCCTATCCAGGTTCGACCAGATTCGTGCACCATGGAATTAGTCTCCGCATGATAGTAACCAACGTTTTGCATATCTACTCAAGACATGTGTAAGATAAGGTCTATGTTGGTTCCAACACAGAAGTTACTTTCCAGTTCGTTCAACTAAACAACTTCAATGATAGCGACTACCTTGCTCCAAAACGGTATTCCATTTGTTGGGAAAACAAAAAGACGCATACCACAAATCGGAGAAGAAGGTCGGCCGATTATAAAGGATTTTCCAATAAAAGATGTCATTTTGAATAGTCTGCAATTCCGGTAGATGTCACTTTCGCAGCTTTAATTTTTGGACATTTGACAAGTAAGAACTACGCCCGTTGAAAAATAAAACGATACACGTTTCATCAAGACACATTGCGATTATTAAATTTCACTATAAAAAATTCATCGAAAAATCCTCTCGACTGATGAGGCTCATTTCCACCTTGTCGCATCTGTGGCTCGAAAAACCCAAAATTTATTGTTGAAAATCCTTTCCGTCCTCAACGTGTAATATTTGGAGCGGTATATGGTCCGGCGGGGTCATTAGACCTTACTTTTTCGAAAAACGAGACTGGAGTAAGTGTAGCCATGACGGTTATTTGGCTGATATTGCTTTCCATTATTAATGGCATACTATCCTCTTTACATTGAAATAAGCATCTGATTATTTATATCAAAAAATTCCATTTTTCTTTGGATAACAAAATAACAGCTCTTATTGGAAAACCCTGTACATAAACAGCGCTCGCGAACCACTGGAACGGAAATAGCATGAACTATTTTTTCTATTTTTATTAATTAGCCTCAACACATGTTGGTACCATAATCATTAAGAGGTCGTGGAGCTACGCAAAGCTAGGCTCTAGCTTCGCTTGTTACCAATTTTTCATAAAATGCCGAAATGTGGGCATATCCAAATTTCTATTTCGCCTTTCTGAAGCCCCATAGAAGTTGTGTATTAATCATTATCCTACATATTTCTTAACAATGCGTACTGTCATTCGGAAGGCTCGGGCTCAACACATCCAAAAGTTATAGAAAATTAATTAATAATAAAAAATTAAGCTAACTTTTCTTATTGCGGTCGCCCCTCCGCAGGATGTCAACCCCTCCGAGTGCATTTCTGACATGAAATAAGCTCCCCATAAAAACCTTCAGCCGTACGGAGGTTGCTTAGTGTAAACTGTAGGTCCCCCAGATGGATGGATGGACAGACAATCATGGTCAACGTTCCAACTCGTCTTGTCTATTCTTTCCATTCTTCGGACTATATGTACATATGTATTTCCATTATTTTCCTCTTCAGTATAATTAAGAACTCTAAGAACATGAGATTTTCCTTTGGTTATTAAGTCTCCATTATAATTGAATATATAAAAGCCTCAAATTAAATTGGCGGTCGCTCAATAAACGTCTGAAAGCGCCTTTATATAACTTAATAAAGCGTTTCTTTCTTGTCACAAGATCAAATAATATTTATTTATTTCATACGTATGTATGTACTGATATAATTTTATGTGTTTTTTTTTATACTGAATATTGACAGTAAGCGTTTTCCATCAAATGAATTTCAATTTTTCCCCCAACAATCACTTCAATGATCAACTGAAAGCCTCATTAACCAGCACGTGTAATGAGAAATATACATAATATACTCACGTTAATATATTATATACTTATGCACTTATATAAATAGAAAGCAAACCTCATTTTTTTGCGAATTTAAATTTTGTTGCATTCACAAGTGTCTTTGACACACTTCGACACGGCTACACACATGCACACTTGCAATATAATATTATATGTGCATTTGTACATACATACATATAATAAATATGTATGTTGGCTTGTACGAATGTCAGAGATTTATGTATATAATTAGAAAAACTGAAATTAGCTACAAAACCTAGTGATCACAGAGAATGCAAACATTGAGATCTGAGAATTGCATTCTCAATGCATTGGGATTGTCATTGACATTGAATTGAAAATTTGGGAAATTCATTCAGTTCGAAATCTTAATGCAGAGACTCAACGTGGTTTTCGGGGACATACAAGAGCTTTTTTTTTTTTAATTATTCGCAGAATATAATAAAATTACGTGCATTTTAAATAAGTTTTTGTACGGTTTCTAACAACACATCTGCATATATACATACACACATGTATGTATGTGCCCTAGTACAAAGAGTGATCGGTGATTATATTTGAATTCGAAAAATTCGGTACACCTTTGCAGCGAAGCAGTTTTCTTTGTGAGTTGAAAGTGCCATAATAAATGCCTTTAACAGTTAGTTTTACTTATCAATATACATACATATAATTCTATTTAAATGCAAATTTGCGTTAACGACTTTTAATGACCTCTGACGCAAATTGTTGACAATCAATTCTCAATCGACATTGCCATGAAATTATCGCTGATTATTTTCATTTTTTTTATTATTATTGATATGCTGAGGTTCATTCAAATGGCCATTGACGTTATTTGACGCATTGCGCGCCAGTTTTGTCATCACGAGCTACAATTGTAATTACAAAATGTGATTTGATGTGATGCGTATATGCCACCCACATCATCAAAGATATGTACATATTTACATACATTCATACATAGTGATGTATGTACATATGTATAAGTATGAATAAGTGAATATCACCTTTTCAATGCAAAGTGACTTCTTTGAAATAAATACATAAAATAAAAATAACTTCATGATGTAATGAGACAAGGTGTCATGCGTACTGACAGCTCGTTTAGCCGCTCCCACAACTCGACCTTGCATTTTGGGAAAACAACAAAAGCGGGAATAAATTTTAACCGTTTTAAAGTTTGTATTTCTAGTTCTAATCTGATATAGTTTACAAGAAATATTTTATGAAATTATGATATAGCAGTTTTTGTAATTATTAACCTTAATAAAAATGTCATAGCGAAAATATATCAAATTTCTAGAAATATTGGGGAATGAGACTAATTAATACTTAATACTTAATTTTTATTAATAATTTTTTGCGGAACTGTCTAATGGCAGTTTCTTTACACTAGTGCTTTGACAACTTAACCCTTCCTAAGCTCCCCTAATGGCTTTTAAAAACACTACCATTTTTATCAAAGCTAAAAGCACCGTCTAGAGGTTAATTAGAATGCCCTTAAAGTATAAGAAATCAAAGATATTCTGAGAATTTCAGTTTCCCAATTAATTATTTTCACTGGTTTAGATTTCACAATGACATTTTCTTTCACACGGTCTTCAATTTGTAAGTTATGATAAAAGTCACCTTCGAAAATACACGATAATATCTATTTAACGGTCAATTGCAAAGAAATTTCCATCAAAGCTTTGTTAATGAAAGCTCTCAGAAAAATCCCATATCATTTTAAGGTCTGATTCACTTCTTCTCGGGCAGATTATGAAAAATAAACCACTCGCCATGCTAACTAGAAAGATCATAGACCAGGCTCTAGTCTGAAATAGATATTTATATTGTATAATATGTAAGTTATCTATGAACGCTTCTCGAAAATAAAGAAAGTTAGTAGATGGAAACGAGCGACTTCTATATGTAAATTTTTGAATTTCAGTTACACGGGTAACAAGTAAAGCAAGCCACTCAATTTCCTTTTGATTGTTCAATTGTTTAAAAATTTCGAGTTGTAAACCATTTGAATAGCAGAAGAAAAGTTTTCCACCTGGCACTACAAAGAACCAACGGGTCTATGTAAGTAGTCGTATCAGCCGGACAGTGTAGCCTAACCTATTAATGTATAGTGGAAGAGCTTGCCAAAAAACATGTTAATAATCATGAAAAATCTTTTGATTGAAAGAGTATATAAAAAATAAAAATGCTCCTTACAAATATTCAATTGTCTCGAGAGACTTAATTTCATAACAATTTATTTAAAGTCTCTTTTTGAAACTGTGGTAAAAGTTTGAAATGTTTTACAAGAAATCTTCCCACAAAGTTTTCGCTCTTTCACATAAAATATTGAGAGTAAAACCATTTTAAACAAAATCCAAGAACCTTCGTTCCCAATAAGAAAACACACACAATTTAGGTAAGTATATTAATCATGTTATATATACACAAGCACATATTACATATAAATGTAAATGTGTACTACTTATATACAATATTTATATAATGAAATTCCCTAGCTGAAATTTCGTTTGGCCAAATTCTGAGGGTGTTCAAGCTTTTGACTGCTAAACCATATACTTCGTTAATACAAATTGTACGGCTTATATACAATACCTGTACATACACATACAATTAAATAAAATAAAAAGAAAAAGTTGATTCAAAGTGTAGAGTGGATTTGAATGATTTATTCTAAAATTAAATCACGTGTCGCCGTGCATGATTTATTTCAATCAATTTAAATCGAAATGAATGGCAAACGCTTATGCAGCTGCCCATGCCGCCCTCTCGCATGCTCATGGCGCATTGATTATGAGCGACTGTTTGAAGACAGGGAAAACGGATGGATGGATGGTGAGCTGAAATGTAATGATTTCGTGTGCTGAATTTGCTTAAAATTTGATGAACGGTTAAAATTCCAATTAAATGTACGTGTATGTGTGTGGAATTTGAATGCAAATTTAAGCAAATTAATATGCGATTTGTAGATACTCTTTCACTGCAATTTTATTGGCACAACATTGGCGGAATCGTACATAGTTCTAGTTTGTGAAAAAGTAAATATATTTTGTGCAAATAATTCAATGAAAAAGGGCATTCTTTGGCTTATTGCTTTCAAATTTAATTTGCACATACTCGTACATATAACACACATATATGTGTAAATACATAAGCCATTTTATTAGCAAGATTAAACCGATAAGTTATTTGTGTGCGCTTTGGAGAATTTCCTAATTGCATTAATACTTTTTTGTAGAATTTGGATTTTCGTAACCGACAGCGTTATAAATAGGCGATATCCTACCACACCTGAAATGCGATCTTTAAGCTAGGGATATCTCTTAAAGTATGTCTTTTCTAAAAATCTTTTAAATATTTGAGATAATATCGGAGCAATCGGACAATAGAGACGCATTCATCCAAACTTGATTTTTATGTTAAACTCTTTTAAGAGATAGAGCCGTAACGAAATTGACTAACATAGGTTTGAATTCTGGACCAGACGCTAAAAGTCGTAGCTTTAATTAAGTGCCGGCAAACTACATTACCAAACAATTTTGTTTTTTCCTTTTTTAATGCGTTTGGAAAAGAGACTCGGCCTCACTTAGGCGTTTACCAACATGAATTTTATATACACTTAATCATAACTAATCAAACACTAATACAGTCTTATTAATATGCTTGAAAACCAGTCGATGATGTCATTGGAAATAAAATTAAACTGTCTGTAGTTAATTAACACAAAATAAGATGCGCAAATTTATGCATAAACTTGTTTTCAAACACTTTAATTACATTAGATCGATCCAATTTTCAGAGCTACATATTTAAATCGTGCTCTGGCTTAATTCGTGGAAATATAAAATCTGTACACTCGTTTGTTAATTAACTTCATCATGAACTGTTTCCAATTATACTTCAGCGGTCGTCAAAAATCAAATACATGAAAATTAAAATGTAATGTATTATGTTCCGGTGTAATTCAAGTATTTTTTCCAAAAAAATTGAAATTAATCGTATAATTAAAAATATACTTCGAAATCGAATATCGACACACACATACATATATAGAAGTATGGATGAGTTCCAAACGACAAAATACTCTGTAATGATGCCGTTGCGCAACCGTAACATTAAAAAGCAACCCTGTATTCTATAAATTTCCAAAGCAGCAATACTTTACAAACTCTGGCATTTCGGAACGCTTTTCGTACAAATAAGTTGCATTTCGGTGAAATGGTAAAATAAAAAAAAAAATTAAAAATAATAATGATATAATGTTTAAAGAAACGAATTAACGCAAAAAAGTTATTCTCCGATGTTTTAAAGAATTCATTATAAAATAAAGCATCACGAGCCTTAGCGATGAGCAGTTTGCATTTAGGAATACGTTTGGAACTCAAGGTACATGTTTGTGGATAAACTCCAATATAAATAAGTAATTACGAATAACTATGTAAATATGAAAATATTTGAAAATGAAAATTGCCATTAATTCGCTTAGATGACTTGTTCAAAGTGACTACAGCGAAACACCAAAGTAATAATAAAAAATTTTGATAAGTAGTAGTTTTACTGCTTAGCAGCCCTATTCTGTCGAAGTAACAAAATTTACCTAGGTATTAAAATTTACCATTCAGTAAATTTTGTTACCATTTCGTATTCTGAGCTCACTGTAACCCTGTAAATTTTGTTACCAGCGAAATGGAAGGTAATAAAAATATCTGCTTTTTGATTTTGTGTTGTGAGTTTGAGGAAAAATAAAAAACCAAAATGGGTAGGCATATATTATTATTTTAAGAAGTTTTCAAGACTAGTAAATAGCACTTTAATTTGTAAGATACCGTTTTCATTTAGTTTTTTTTTGTTGTCCAGGCATATTTTCCATAATTAGGTTCAAATATTTATGATTTAATAAACACATAAATAAAACATTTTAATTTTTTTGTGCACCGTCTTCCATTTCGATGTGAATATTTTTATTTTTACTTTATCAACTGGCAAATGTAATTTGACAAGGACGAAAAAATCAGTGCTGCCAAATTTTTTTCAAACATTGTAACCAGTTCGCCAGAATACCAAATTCAATTTCGGGTGTTAAAGAAAAGTAACAAAATTTACTTTACGGGTAACAGTGAGAATAGGCCTGTAAGTGTTGATAAATATCAGTGTACAGAATAACTTCCAGTGGCTCTCAAATATTGAAGACTTTTGCTTCAACAAATATTTTAATTAAATTCTTGGAGCCTAAATCTAGCATCGAAAGACTTTACGAGTATCCTACACCACGCTACTTTGACATACGAAATTTGTGATGAAAATTAATTGTGGCGACAATAAATTCAAAAGTTTTTTTTCCCAGCCCGTCTTGCAAACTCCTTTTTCTCACTTATTGATGTTGACATAATAAAATATGGCATACCAAGAAAAAAAGAGTTGTAAATTATGGCAATTAAATCACTCGTTTAGCTGATATTTTGCGTTTTAAGCAATTACACACCAACTTATTCATGTAAATGCATTCATATGTATGCACAAAACTTTCTTGCCTTTTGGGGCCAAGTGATTTTTTTATTTACATTTCTGGCTTCTTGCTTTATAAAATGTTTAT